GAGTATAGGCAACAGAAATTCGTTGGAAATATTCAGTGAGCTAAGCCAGTTTTCAGTTCTGCAGCAAAGTGGGGGTAATGCTGCGGCTTGCATGGGCTTCTTCGTTGCTATTCTTTTTTATTTAAAAAATTTTGACTAATTGCCAGTTCTGTTGTTCGCCGTTATCAGCTGTCCGTTTGCGTAGCCAAGTGACTCATGGGCATTTTTCTGTTTTATTTTTATTTTTGTTTGGTTCGAGGCACTGAAGTAAATAAATTCTTAAATGTTTCTGCTGAACGTTCATGACTCGCAGCAGCAGCAGTCGCAGTCGCAGTCGCAGTCGAAGCTAAAGTTCAAATGTGCCTCTGTCCTCCATTATGGCTCTCGATCTCTATCTGGCTGTACTTAGGTGCGCTTACTTTATTCCATTTGTAGCTTTTGCTCTTCTCATAATATAAACGATTCTTGTTGTTGTTGTTGCTGATTTTGCAAAAAAAAAAAATTCTTGAGTCGGGCGTCAGCGCCAAGCTTGATGTGGTAGGTCTGAAAGTGCTTTGCTCTAACAGCGAGTATGTATGACTATAATATAAAGTGTGTCATTAAATACCCTACTCAAAGTATTTAATAATCAATTAGTTAATGTTTGCCCTTCGTAGATATCTAGCTGAATTTTGGTACGGCTGCTTCTCTTTGATTTGGTACAAACATAAAATGAAATCATTCAAATTGAGTTACTAAAACAGAAATTTTTATTAAAAATATATATTTTTTTATAAATATATATAAATAGAAATGTGAATGTTGTCTTTTTACATTATGGATATATGTTTGTTTGTTATAGATGAGATACTTTTTTTCTCAAAGATACTTCAACTCTTTTCTCTCGCGAAGATCACTTGAGCATAGTTAACATTTGATGTATGCTTAAGCAGAGTATTCAAACGTCGATTATTCGCTGTCTGTTCTTATTCTTATGCCCATACATTAATGCAAAATGTATCTGTATCTGTATATGTATCTATGTATCTCTATATACAGATATGTGTAGGTATCGTTAGCTGTATCTGTATCTGTTGGCTATGCATAATATTTCGCTACAAATTGTTGTTGCTTTTGTTGCTATTTTTTGCCGCAACGCAGCGAGTTTTTTTAATGTTTTTTGTTTGTGTTTTTTTACGCTGAGTGCGCAAAATGCGCAAAAAACAAGTTTTGCACTTAGTGGCGCAAAAAAAAGAAACAAAAACTGAAATACAATACATATATAACTAAGCTTTATCCAAATGTGTGTGAGTGTGTTTGTTTTAATTTTGTATCCACTTGTGCCTAGCACGAAAGATCTGGCGCTGATTTGGAAAACCCGACAGCTGTTTGACGCTTTTTGCTTTCAACACTCCGCGCGAACTTTTCCAGAAAATGTCTCGGATGTTGGGGAATGTGGGCGATGTGGATTGTGTGGACTCTATGTATTGTGACTTGTGAATTGTGCATTGTGAAGCTTTCGCATTTGTACTTCTGTGCATTGAACCACAACTGTTGACGTTGTTCGGCTGCAATTTGGTATCCAGTTTGGGGCAGGGCTAAGCCACATGAGTGGGTCGTTGCCTGTCATATAGTGCTGGCTGGCCGCAGACGACACACATTTTTTAGTTTGTTCACTGTGGCTCGACTAGAGTCTCGAGTCTCAATTCTCTTCTCTGGCCCCCTCTGCGATTCTCAATTAGCATCGTTTTTGTGTACTTTTGTTAAGTGTGTGTACTTTTGAGACCTTTAGGTCTTCGGTTCAGTTGCCTCACTCCGTCGTCTCTTTTAATTAGCACATTAAGAAAACAAGTCCCGTGTGCGAAAGGCGATGTTGATTGTTCAACTGATACCCTGTATATGTATGATATACGCAGTTATCTCCATACGACTTTGCATTGGGTCAGGCTGATGATCCGAAACATTGAGATAAATATAGACAGACTGTCGACTGTCGGTCGTCAATGCAGCAACAGCTCTCTACTATAGATAGCATTTGAATGTGAACTTATATTATTAATCGTGTCAGCTATCGCGGGTTCGAACTTCGCCACCTGCTAATGACTACAGCAGCAGTATCTATAGTTGAGCACAAATTATCTCTAGCTGTAGTAGCATGAGAGCTAACTAAATTGACTCGTCTATCTTCTAGTTATACTATATACTATATACGAAAACGGTTATATCGAACGTAAACAACTTTTGTTTACCTTTTATTTATTATAATATGAATTGGCTTTGTTAAACGAATGTTTCTTTGTTGCTTTAACACTTCTTGAGTTTGTTTGGGACTAACTCGCTTAACAAAGTGGATCATTGAAGTATATATGTATATATTCCAGTCACATCGGGATGTAAACCAGTTTCTTCTGCAATCTTCCTTATATTACGAGTGAACACAGATCAAATCGAGATCATTTTCCTCTCTTATATAATTATTATATACAGATAACAGAGTATCTGAGTATGAAATACGATGTGAGTATCCACTCTTGTCTTATATAAGATTTGTCTCTTGTCTCTCAAGACACTTCATACACATTATGAATGGTTTACAGGGTATCGAATCCAATTGCCATTCGCTTTTTATTTCACCAGCTACTGTCGCTGCCGACCAAAAGCAATTCAAATGCTTGTCGTAAACGGTGGGCGTGGCAGTGGACCTGGACCTGAAATGTGTTTGAGTGCTTGTGAGTGCAGGGGGGCAACTTTCACTTTTCACTCGGGTTACAAAAATAGCTGTGGCCAGATTGTGGCAACCGCCGCTGCTGTGGCACTTGGCTGCAGCTAACGAATTGCGTGTGCGTGCCTGGAGACCAGCAATTGGACACCCAACATAAGACGCAAGATGGCAACAAACTAACAGCCACTTGGTGGACATCATCATTGAGTGTCAGTTGCAAGAGTCTCGCTGCCTCTCTCTCTCTGCTGTTGCTGTCTCTGTCTCTCTCGGGAACGGCTTCCGCTGCTTCACAAGTCAATTGACAGCTGGAACGGAAATGCCTGCAATAAATCGAAAATCGTGTCTACATTTCCCAATCCACTTAAACAGACAACGCTCTAAAGAGAGAGGGAGAGAGGGAGAATATGTGTGAGGGAGACGACACACAAAAAGAGTTTTCCAGCACAAAGTGCAGTCTTTAATTGAATCACTTCTGCCAGCTGCCCCAGTTGCCTGCCCTCAGTTGCCCGTTGCCCATTGCCCATTGCCAGTTGCCAGTTGTGCCCCCAGCAGCGACTGCGGACTCGCTGTAATTTGCAGAACTTGCCGCAGCGGACATAAATTGCAATTGAGTTGCAAATTGCATTAGACCCTAACAAGGGCAAACAGACAATGCCCCATGTCAGAATGACACTAGCTGATAGCGAGCAGAGTTTTATAAAAATATAATAAAATATTTCGATTAATCTGGAAAAATATATAAAATGCTTAAAATAATTTTAAATAAAATAATATAATAATCTAAGAAAATAGTAGCACTTGCCAAAGAAAATAGAGAGAAAATATATAAGACTTGAGCTAAGATGAAAGTACGATAATTAAGCTAGCGGAACACTGTGGCAAATGAAACAAATTGGGAAGCAATATATAAGAATAGCTTGAATATATAAGAATATCTCCAAAAATACATATTCATATATTTTCCTCTTCTACTTTCCCGAAAGTTTCTTCCACACACACATATACCCTTTCCTTTACGTAAACAGAGTATTCAGCTGGCTTAGCACATCTCTCTCTCTCACTCTCTCTGTCTCTCTCTGGTCTTGTCATTTGTAGAGGCGTGCCTAGCATGTTTTAGAACTATGCGATGTCGATCGGAGCTCTCGCTTTTCGCTTCACCCAACCCACCCAACGCCCGCACCACCCAGCGTCTCGTCTCGTTTACCATAACGAATTGGCTCTGTGAGCCACTGAAGCGTTCATGTGAAACGTCCAGTTTCTTCATAACACATACACACACATGTGCATACAAATATATGTGAGCGTGTGTGGGTGTTTGTGTGTGCTGTGCCCATTTCGTTTGGGAAAATTCGTGAAAAACTGAAATTAGCTTTAAGCGTTTTCCGAGGCAAATTTTGCTATTGCCGGTTTTCGCTTTGAGTTTCATTTTTTTGCGGCTGGTTTCATTTTTCATGTTGCCACCGCTGCTGCTTCTTCTGCTGCCTCTACTGCCCCAGCCTTTAGCTCAGCCACTTGATCTAATTGCAGTGCTCACCCCAAGGCCGGGCCAATTAATTTGTGCAATTAACTGAAATTGAATACCCATTTAACGGGTCATTCTGACCCGGTTTGTTTGAAGTGTCGCTCATAAGCCCGAATTATGCTCACCGTTTGTTTTGGCTTGCGACGCCTGGCAACAAAAAGTTGCTACAAACTTGTGCTGAAGTGAAAATAAAGTATTCAAAGTTTGTTTTTCTTTCCGAAATGTCAAGAACTTAAGTGAAGCAGCCACGGCTGTAAAGCGAGGGGAGTAATGCGCCGTAGGTTCTAATTTATGCCCTGCTTTGCTTTGCTTACTTAGTATATTTTCATTAATTAGCAGAATTGCATTGAAATTCGAGAAAGTTTACTTTACAAAGTTTTGTTTTCGCTGTGGATTATTTATAATTAAATCTGAAATTTTGTATGAATTTCATGCTGAAATCCCCAACCCTAAAGACCAACTCTTGATGCTTTGATTTTCGTTCTTATCTTTATTGAGTTTTAGTCCATGTATTTATTATAACTGAATTGGAGCTTTTTAAAGTTTACTGTTCAAATATCAAGTACAATTCGCTTTTATCTCCTTTCTCAAGTCGCCTTTCTGAGTCTTTACTGTCTGCCTCTGCATTGAAGCAATTCCCCTTGCTTAAGCTGCAACCTTTCCCCAATCAAAAAGCTGACATTAAGAACACATTTTATAAATATTTCTACGCACAACATTTCGGTATATTCAATAGAACCTAAACATAAACCTCTTCTTAAATTTCTTCATACTTATTTTACTCCATCTCTTTTACAGACGCGGTCTGACGCCTCCGCATCGCGTTAAATCCATATCGATGGCCACATTTACACAGGACGAGCTCGACTTTCTGAAGGCGCACGGCAATGAGCTGTGTGCCAAGACCTGGCTGGGCCTATGGGATCCAAAGCGAGCTGCTGCGCAGCAGGATCAGCGGGAGCTGATGATCGATAAGTACGAGAGGAAACGCTATTACTTGGAGCCGGCCAGTCCGCTCAAGTCGCTCAATCTTAAGTCGTCGTCCGCCAGCAATGGCTATCACACGGGCAACATATCGAGCAATGGCTATGCCAGCATTCATTTGACACCGCCCGCCGCCCAGCGTACAGCTGCAAATGGCCTCAGCAAATCGGGAGCAAACAGCACAGCCATCAGCCGGCCGCAGCATCATCATCATCAGAATCATAATCACACTCACAATCAGCAGCAGCCACAGTTGAATGGCAATCATGATGCCTTTTCGCATAATCTGGCCGGCATCGGGCTGGGTCTGACCAGCCTGAACAGCGCCGGCTCCACATCAACGGGCGCCCTGTCCGACACGAGCAGCTGCGCCAGCAATGGCTTTGCCGGCGAAACAGATTTTGTGGCCGATTTTGGTTCGGCAAACATCTTCGATGCCACCTCGGCACGTTCCACGGGCTCACCGGCCGTCTCCTCGGCCAGTTCGGTTAGCTCCACCAATGGCTATGCCAAGGTGCAGCCCATTCGTGCGGCGCATCTACAACAGCAGCAGCAGCAAATGCCCAACGGCAACAGCAATGGATCGGAGAACTTTGCTGATTTCGAGCATGCGCCCATCTATAATGGCGTAGCTGACGGTAAGTTATACAATCGCTGGCTTGCTATGTGAGTGTCCTTGCAGAGCAACTTGGGGTAGATGTTAGATATGACAAATGTTGTCGCTATTCTAGATTAGATTCAAGCTACATTCATAGCCTGACATATGTAAGCTTCTCTTGCTGTAAAGTTGTCTTGATAAAAATTGCTGCAGCTGCTGCTTAGTACTTCTGAAGCAGTTTTACAGGCAATACACAGGAGTATTCGACTTGGAAATACTCGTCACTCAGCTCGAAACCTGCTTATAAGCGCCTCTTGGCTGTGGTAGACCCTTTTGCTAGCTATAGGCATTGCTCAATTTAAGAGTATTCGACTTGTCTTAGTCTGTAACGATTAGATATGTTCTTTTCGGGTGTATCCGACTAAGATATGCCCTTAATTTTGCTTAAAATGTCATCAAACAGTCCAACTGCCTTCTGGCTATGCTTTGTACTCGCCCTTATGAGGTCTGTATAAAGCTATACAGGATACAATTTTTCGATGTATACGACTATAAGATACCCTTCAATCCATGCCTGTATCATATACCTCCTCTTGACTACAGTAGACCTCTTTATATCCATAACAAATTAAAGTGCTTCTACCTAGCTACTCTACATCTCCAGCTAGACCCAATCTTTGGCAAATATCTCTGCAAGAGCATTAAAACTGCGGCCTACCGTAGTCTTTTGTTTGTTTTATTTCTTTTAGTTTGTTTTTGTTTAATTTTCAATCTTTGCCACACACTCGCCCACAACACACATTCCACACCTGCTGCTGCTTCCTCTTATGCTGCACGTGACAACAATGCAAGCGCCCATATTCGGGCTGCTTTTCGCTTACTTTTGGCAATACGTTGAGCATTCTCCACGCACAGTTTGCATTTGGCTTGAAAAACACAACTGCGTCAGGTGAAGGAGCATTTAACGATAATCTTTCTATCCTTTTTGCTCTCTTTGCGCTTCCGTGCGCCACACACATTCAACATTCTTTGTGGGGTTGTGCCAGCAATGAAGTCTGTGCGCTCGCTGCCCGATTGGTACGATTGGAGCACGTCCGACTATGCAGATCCGTTTGAGAATGAGTTTGCGGCGCTGCGCTCGACAACAGAAACCAGTTCGGAAGCGGAGCCGGAGTCGTCGCTGCCCGCCTATTCGACGCTGACGCTGTGGAGCGATGATAGCTGGCCAGAGAAGCAGCCCGCCATGCACTATGATAGTTCGGTCACCTTGCTGGAGTCAGCTAGGTCGGCGGCGATGTGCTTGCCCAGTGAAGAATCCTTGCAAACGCCCACAAATCCATTTCTGCCTCAGTTGAAGTCGGAGTCAGCATTTAGTCGGGCATTAAGCGCGCTGCATATCGCTGAGGATACAGAAACAGCAACAGCAACAGCAACACAAGCAACAGCAGCAGCAGCACCAGAAATGGCAGAGCATACAGAGTGCGACTCGAATTCGAATATCTTAAATGCCTATTACAATCCTTTCTTTACGTGGAGTAAGTTTTTCGTTAACTTTCGTTCTTGAGTTCCTTTTAGTTGAGTTTGAATTCGTTTTCTTTTGAATGGCTTCTTATTGTTGCTGTTGTTGTCGTTGCTCGTATCTTGTGTTGGGTCCTTGCCTTGAGTTTGCTTAGAGTATATCCGAGTAGCGGCTTGTGTCAGTAATACTCATTGTTTGATATCTCTTGCAGGCACCTCGTTGCAGAGCCAGCAGCAGAAACAGACGACAAACAAGCCAAGCCCCCGGGCAGGCAATGCGCCCAGCGAGGACCGCTATGCGGCGCTCAAGGACCTCGATGAGCAACTGCGCGAGCTGAAGGCCACCGAGGCGGCTACAGTCACGGAGGCGCCAACGCCAACCAATGGCAACACACAGCTGGCGGATGCCTTTGGCACGGGTGAGTAGTAGCAGCAGCTGCAGCTGCAGCACTATAGAAAACCACAACTGAAACTTATCTCTCTTTCTTTGCCTGCACAGTCAACGGCAACAGCAGCAACAACAACAATAACAACAACCATGCCAATCCCTTCAAGAGCCAGCAGTCGCTGCTCATCAACGGTAGCAGCCACTTGGTGAATCCATTCCAGGCACAGCAGCTGCAACAGCAACAATTGCAGCAGCAGAATCTCTATGGCCAGCTGACGCTCATACCAAACGGCTATGGCAGCAGCCCACAGCAGGCGGCTGCGGCGGCGGCAGCAGCAGCGGCTGCCACCAGCTTCTACAATTTCAACAACAACGGCTTTGCCTTGGCCCAGGGCCTGCCCAATGGCTGTGGCTTTGGCAGCATGCAACCAGCGCCCGTGCTTGCGGGCGGCCTAGCCGGCGGCTTCAATAACCCATTTGCGGTAGGTTGTTGGGTAAAAGCAAAACTCTAGTCGCATGCTCTTAGTAAGGGTGTAAATGTAAATTGGGCAACTCGATGTGGCAGCCAAAAGAGCAGGCAACTTTGATGAACAACTTGATATTTATCCAGTTTGCTGAAGGTTGTAGTAATCCATCACTGCCATATGCTACGTTAGCCATAAAGCTGCGATATATATCGATTCTTAAGCTGAGCACAGAGTTTTATAACAGTGACAGTAAATGATAATATGTTTGATAAATATCGATTATTAATCTTGGATTTAAGGGCCTATAGATAATGTACTTTATAATCTTACTAATATATACAATTAGCTATTAATACAGAGGGAAATTAAAATGTTTGCTGTTTGCAGAGTATTTTGTAGCTTGGCACTATGCGACTAGAGCACTTTTCTTCTATTTTTATGTATTTAGAAATGCTTATTAATATGATTATTGAACTCCGCAGGCCAGCGGCGCTATGAACACCAATAATCCATTTTTATGAGATTCAGACTCGAGGCGAGCGCAGGACCAACAGCAGCAGAGGAAGCAGAGACAGGAGCAAGAACACGAGCAAGGGCAGGAGCTGAAACTAAAGCAGCAGCAGCAGCTGGAGCAGCAGGAGCTCACATCATGGCTGAGGCGTTGAGACGTTGAGATTGATCAGAGAAAAGCCGCTGAACAAAATGCAGAAAGTGAACCGAAATTAGTCCATTTTACGAACAATAGCTATTAACTATAAAATATACATATATATCTACATATATGTATATACATAGGCAGATACATATATGTGTGAGTGTGTGTGCATGTGTGTGTATTTATATAGACGTATGTGCTAAATGCTGAATATGAATCCGTTTTAATGGATTGCCAACAACAACAACTGATCGTACAATATATAGAAATATATATATTCTTTTACTAAATCTCTATCGTACATACATACACATATTTATACGGCGAATTCACACATGCATATGCACACACACACCCAGATATATATATATATACATATACATTACGTATGTAACTAAAGATTTGTATTTACCGTTTGCCTTTAGCATCTATAGACTTTTTACTAAACTTAACTTTCTTAACGTGCGCCACAGTTGTCGTCGCCTGTTTAGCTTAACTTAAAACACACATATATACACATGCACACATATGTATACAAATATACATGTACACATATACAAATATATTATATATTTATAACAAGAGGAAAAAACTACTAAAGCAAAAGTATCTGTAAGTTCTAATGGGTAGCACAGACCATCCTCAGCCGTTGCGGTTTTAGTTTGTGTTTCGTTTTGTGTTTTTACTTTTTTTTAATCTTGTATATTTATAAGTCGAATATTGTATACCCTTTCTTTTACGCATTCTCACCTCATAATTTGCAGTTCTCTCTCTCCCTCTGTTATTTCCTTTGGGTTTCTTTCAACGCGCTTGTTTCGCTGTACGAAACTCTTGTCAGTTATTGATTGTGTGGCCTTAATAAGATTATGAAACTGTTCATTAAAACTAACTACCATATAATATACTTACATAAAATATATATACGAATACATATATGCTTTTGTACCTAAATTAAATGCTTCTTGTTTTAATACTTGTTAATCAACTATGATAAATAAACCACAACCAACACACACACACTTAGAAGGGTTAGTTTGCTCAACACAAAGTTAAAGTTTGTTAATTGCGATGATAAATATATATTATATATATCACTATATACTTATCGACAAGTATATATGTTATGATATAGCGCATGACTAAAATGAATATCGGTATTAGTACTCATTCGGGATTATTTGAATACCTACCAACAAGTCCAAATAAGAAGCAAGAAGAAATTTTCCATATTTAGCCTTAACATATGACAAAAATTATCTCGAAGCCTTAAAACAAATTATTTAAATTTACAAATTTCAATAAAAACTAAGAAGAAAAACAAAACGAAAACTATTAATGCTGCATTCATTTTTGGGCGTTTTTTTTTTTAATTTAATAAAATCTCTATCTTAGAAAAAGTTCTGTACCGTCCCGGCATAAGCTATGCTAATATTAGCTAGGCCAATCAACGGAAGCTGTAGATGTTTAAAATGTTTTAGAAAATGCTTAAATATACCTTGGATGCATTTCTTACCTGAGACATTTATCATGGTTTATAAACTATGTCACATGAAATACTTTCAATAAACTAAAATAATGTAACAAAATTGAATTGTTTCATTTATAAGCGCTTAAAATATATTATATATATTTAAGTAGTTGTCTGAAAAATGGGAAATGGAAATGTATCTCAAGATAAGTCTTTAAGTAACCAGCCTCTTTACATGAGCTGTTATTTAACAGCAACAGCATATGTTATTTAACAGTTGACCAACCATCACGCCTTGCGGGTATGCAAAGTTTTTGACACGGTTTTTAGTGTTCTTTCTGATTATTTCTGTTCAGCTTGATTTTTACAAAAAGCTTGATAAAGAAAACTCATTGTGTATAATTTATTTGATGTATTTTTATTCATTTCCGTTTCGGTATAATTTCTAGTTTGTTCTCTTCCTTTTTTTAGTACTAGTTGTGTTTTTAGCAATTGTTTGAAATTACTATAAATTATTTAATCTTTATATTTATATGTTTATATATATATATATTATAAAATTCGCATATGAAATAAAGTCGAAAGTCCTTTTAACCATATGGTTAAACCACTCAGCGCCGTTCCGTTCCGGTCTGTTCCGTCCAACTATCAGATTGATATTCTCTTCTCACTAATCTTAGGCTAAATCAAAAACAAATCAATATATAAAATTAAAAAAAACGGCAAACAAAATGTAATAATTAAAAACAAAATTAAAGCTGGAATCGCTGCTTCTACTACTTTATAAATATAACATAATAATAATAATATAACTAATAATAGTAAGAGTAAACTAAAAATAGAAAGTAAGTATATATACGAAAGTGTGCTTAGGTTAGGCATTGCATCATCAACTGTACAGTATGGCTTATATGCGTATCATATATATATATATATATATATATATATCGATTTATATATATATTATTTATTTATGTATAATAGGGGGAGGCTCCACTTAAGTATGTGTGTTTCGTACGATGTTGATTATGTTTATAATTATGCGGCTAGAACAGCTTGTATTTAGATATTATTATTGTGGATATTTCGTATGTTAATATATACCTTTATCTTTAGATGATAATCAAAAAAATGTTGAATACAAAAGTGACTGTGGATGTGTATGTAGTTGAAGACATGAAGCATCTTATCTTATTAGCAAATTAGCGAGTTAATTACGTTTTCACAATTATCTTTTCCAACTTCTCGGGTTTTTCTTTAAGCAGCTCTTGATATATATTTTTGGGTTGTTCGTAAGCGTTCCGCCTACATATTTACATACTCGATAAGTTATTGGTATGATTGGGTATATATATATGCATAAATGTGGCTTCGCGAGCTTCAAATTGTTTACAAAGCAGTTGCACACACACATGCATACGCACAGACAAATTGGTTGATGTGCTATATCCAAACAGACTCACTCACACACACGTACGCACGCACGCACTCACACACACATACATCGCTACATATCTTAAGTCAGTTTTTAAAAGCGCTTTGCTGTGTACACAATACTTGGCTACAATGTTAAATATCGTTTGTTATGTATTTATACATATATATAGAGTATGTAAATGTAATGCATGTTGACATCTAGAATTGAGTGTTTCGAGAGAAAAAGAAGCCTTTGGTTCTTTCATTTATGTTTGTTATGCTTTTCTTTCGTCTTCCCTAGTTCACAAAAAAGGAAGCGAACTAACGTTAACAAAGTAGTCATTAATCAAAGCTAGCCGAATTAAGCATTAATTAATTTAGATACATATAAATTTTATAAAAGTACAAAAAGTCTGTGTTTTGTCTATTACGCACTCGAACATGAATCAGCGAACATGAATCAACCGATTTATATACATATACATACTCTCCCTCTCTCGTTATCGCGAAGCATACAAAACTGAAGAAACAATTTGGACAACGCGCTGCATACTTTATGTTATATGCCATGTTAATACGTATGTACTATATCATTGAAGTTGTATTATGTTGTGTATTTTTTGTTAGTTATATTACGAGTAATATATTGGATGATCTATGTTGAGTTTCTTTTTGTTTGTTTCTCTCTTTACGTGCCATTGGCCTTTGGCAGCGATCGCACCAGATACAGCTTCTCGCCCTGCTTGTTCGTATAGATGGGCGCTCTTTGGTAGTGGTCGACCAGCTGGTCCAGCGAATGAAACTTGCGCTGTCCAATGCAATACATATTCTGCTCAACGTGCACGCGGAAGTGTTTGTTGCGGCCGGGCGCCTTCAGGGAAACCGAGTAATCACCCATCTAAAAGCAAATAATTTTAATTAAGTTTCTTTTCTTTCTTTCAATGTGGGTAATTCCAGGAGAGGAATAAGTTCTAGTTATTTCTCTTTTCCATTCCCTTGGAATCCAATTATATACACATGCTACTATTCACTCACATTAGTCTCACTGTCTCTGATGAGGAAGTCGCCATCGTGGCCATGGCCATTGAGGACTGTGTCGCATTGGCTGCGCGTGATGGCTCCATAGTACCAGGATTTGCCAGCCAAATTGGGACGCTCGATGGGCTGGCTGGGCTGCGTTGGTTTGTTGTTGCAGTCGTTGCGTCGCTCCATGGAGTCACCGCCGTTGCCGGTGGTATTGGCACCGTTGCTGCCGGTGGCATTGCCATTGCCAGCATTGCCGCTGGTATTGCGATAGGGCGTGGCCAAGTAGTCGTTCAACTCTTGTAGATAATTGCGTGGAACTAAACCGACTTGACCCTGATTATTGCGTGCCTTATACCAGTCCGGATCGGAGGCGGGCCTATCGACAATCTCAAGACGATCGCCCTTCTCAAACGACAGCTCCTGATCATTGTTCGATGTGAAGCTATAGAGCGCCACCTGCAAGAATGATGAACAGAGATTGAGCTGGGGATTTCATCGAACTAGATATTGCTACCTACCACAATGTCTAGCACGTTCTCCGCCATGGCATAGGTGTGTATTTCGCCATCGTTATCACAATCTTCGGTTGTGTAATTGCTAGGGAACCAGCCAACCGCATTGCCGCTCTGCCCACGCCACCAGCCATCATTCGACTTCTCCAGGATGAGTATGCGTGTGCCCTTAGTCAGGGATAGCTCATCCGGCTGCTGCGCCTGATAGTTGTATTTGACAATGGCGGTGCCAATGGCCTCGGCCGGATCGGGCGGCAAGCGTCGCGACATGGTTGGACTCTCGATTTGGCGTGAGGGCGAACAATTGGGCAGCGTCTTCGAACCGGAACCCTTTTTCACCTTCTTTTTGATGCTATAAGATAAATGGAGAAGATTATCAAATATAAATATTAACGCATATCGAATCGGATATTCTGACAAAGTTTACTGGGTGTAACAATCGGGCGGTTCTTTTTATTTAGATTAAAGAGTTATTGGCTTAATCCTAATATGGGGTTTCCAGTGGAGGGGCAACCAGAAAGGGGCTTTAGTTTTTGTGTGTGGGTGTGGTTCGTGCGGGTGGAAGGAAGGAACAAATATTAAGAAGATTTTCTACTCGATAAATAATAGTTATGTGAATACAACTTAAGCGTCAAATGATTTTGTTATATAATACAAAAGCCGAAAAGCAGTTGAAAAACTAATTACAAGAAAGCAAAACATTTGGAGTAGAAAACAAACTCGACATATTTTTCTATTTTTTTTTTTTTTTTTTTGGTAGCTTATTTCTGCTGAAATCAGAATGAAAAGAATACTTAAATTTTTAGTGAGTTCTCATAACGGTATATACACTGGAGTTTCATTCATTGGAACTGGACTCTGAATGAATGGCACTGCAAGCGAAAACCGGACAACACACGCACCTGTCGAAGAGCGAGGGCTTCTCCTTCTTCACATAGTTGCTGGGCACATAGCCGGACTGATTGCGACTGTTTTGGACGCGCCACCAGTGCTTGGAATCGTCCAGCAGCAAATAGCGCTCGTTCTTTCGCAAGTCCAGCTCCTGGGCGCCCTGGGCTGCATAATCATATTTGGCTACTACGTAGCAAACGTCTTCCTGAGATTTGCCTGCAAAACGCGAAAGAAAAGTTCAGTTTAGTTGCAGCTTTAATGGGTGATATGTATATATCGATATATATCGATCTATATGTACGATGTATATGGGCCATTTCAGAGTGTGCCCTTAAAGTGTGTCTCTTTTATACGCTTTTAATGCTTTGTATTTTAGAATCATCTTATTTGAACAGACTCTGGGAATATATGTGTGCCTCATCTGTTTTACACTTTTTAATATCTTAACTGCTCATCAATTCCAAGACTTAACGACCATCTTACAGACATTATATAGACATTGGTTCAAAGAAACATCTGTTCAGATGGAATACTTTATTAAAAGTCTATAAATCTAAGAGATAATTGTCTCTCTACAGATACAAATGAAAAGATTTGAGTTGAGTGAATGGTCTCTGAGTAGACCTTCTATATTATATACCTATTAATATTGTACAATGGTGTATATAGTAAATTGAAATACTATTCGAAATCCTTTGTATTAGAGATCTACAATCTGTTGTTGCTAAATATGTGAATATAATCTAGATCTATGCCATTTATAGTTTATATTTATATTACACTGTATTATATTATAATTCAAGTAATATCAACTATAATCAACTACAATCTCTCTATATTCTATATATAATCTTTTTATTCAATTTAAATCCAGTATTCTATATATAGTAGCAACTTAACTATTTTATCTAGAGTTCTTCACACTAAACATCCCCTATTGCCCTTATATAATAGTCATAGCTCGTTCGCTTACCGTGCTTCATGTTGCCCGCCATTGATTGTTGTCCAGCGTTGCTGCAACTGGAGTTACCGCTGCTGCTGCCCCCGTTGCTGTAGTCGATCGGCGCCGGGCAGCCGCTGCTCGCTGGCTGGCCAAAGGTCACACTTTTGTGCTGGGCACTGCAACTGGAGGCGGTCGACAGTGTGCGATGATGCTGCAGCGATTGCTGCTGCAGTTGTTGTTGCAGTTGTTGCTGCTGCTGCTGTTGTTGTGACAGCGAAGAGTGACGCTGATGATGAGCAGGTGAGTTAGGTGCCAGTTGGCGGCAGCTCTGATAGTTCTGATGTTGCGGCAGCTGTGGCGGTGCGTTGCCAGAGGAATTGGGGATGTTGCGCGCGAATCGCTGTGGGTATTCCAACATTCCAGTGTGGGCTCCTCAATATGCTTGAGAAGCGCGACGGGGCACAATGGGTTGGCTCCAAATGCTGCTTCGAAGATAAAATTTTTGGCAATTGGGCAACAAAGTGTCAAACAACAAACAACAGGAAATAGCAGCAGGTTGCAGGTTGCAAAGTTGCAAGTTGCAAGTTGCAGTTTGGCAGCAAAATTGTTTGTTGTTGTTGATAATGAAGATGAAGATGATTATGTTGTTGATGTTGATGCAGTTGTTGTTGTTGTTGTTATTATGGTGAGTATTTTATTGTTGCTGTTCGTGTTATGCTGTGTGTTGTTGTTGCTGTTGTTGTTGGTGTTGTTGCTGTTGCTGCATGTTGCCTTCTTCCTCAGCCAACGCATATTTCTGCTGTTGTTGTTTTCATTGTTGTTGTTGTTGTTTTAGCAGCAAATTAAACGTTACGAATGCGGCGAAATGCAAAAACAAAGATGTGAAAGAGAAAACGAAAAGGAAGAAGAAGAAAACAATGTAAACAAGATGAAATTAAAGCTGTGTGTATGTATGTAAGTGAGTGTGTGTGTGTGTGTGCGAGTGAATGTGTGTGTGTTTTACTCAAAAAAGCATTTGCGTGAAAGCAGTTAAAACTAGTGCTTAAATACTTCAAAATATTGAGTTATATAAATATATATATATATATATATGTATATACATATATAGATATATACATATATATACCTATGTATAATATATCAAAAAAAAAACAAAGCGTAAAAAAAATTTGAGCATAAAGTGAAATTTACATAGGGAATAAATAACGGGCCTTCGAGCTAGGATATGAGAGCTGATGAAAGTGTGTGTTAGGGATGATGATGATGGTGGCAATGGCAATGATGATGACGGTATATGTTTTTTTTAGCTTGTAGCCGCCTGCAACTGTGGGCTGACCGCAATGTGGCCAAGCGAGAAATAGACGCCAAGTGAAAGTTGCCCCCAACTCAAATGGAGCAAGACTCAGATTTGAAAACTCGTAATTGAATTGAATTCAATATAATATCAACCAGAGAGATAGAGAACACTTCAGAGAAGTTAAAGTTGAAGTTTAGCAGCAGGAAACTCAAACATACTCAAAGAATAATTTTTTTACAGTATTTTTGGTATAATTATAATCACAAAGTTATAAAAAATATTTTAAAATATATCAATTTCAATTCAACTCAAAGAAAATATATGTTTGAACTGTAAAAATTATATTAACTGAAATACAAATAGATTTTGTTGATTTAAAAATGATAGATAGATGTAGATTATCGATTTTTCTTTGTACATGAACTTTTCCGCGACAATTTCTTTGATAGCTATATGATATAGTAGTCCCAGTCTTACTTAATCAATTTACCTATTTTTGTAAAGCTAACTTAGCTGAGCTTCAACTTAACGGCTCTATTGAGCGAATTGTTCGCTTAGGTCGCCTCAAGCACTGATGTCTCTTCGTGCTGATCACGTCTTCATATAAAATAAAGCATCTAAGACATCTCCTCGAGTGCCTGCCCCACACAGTTCGTGACAAAATTAAAGCAAACCCTCCCCCAGTTTGAGCTAGTGCATGAAAACGAGATGGAGAATGAGGAACCACTTGATTTTAATTGATGAATTTTCAATTGATTTGGCAATGCGGCGAGTGGCGCAGAGTTTGGGTCACTACGTGCAACAGCATCCACAGAAGCATTAATACAGAGACGCAGCGAGAGAGACAGAGAGAGGCAGAGGGAGAGGGAGTGAAATAACCAGCTATTCAATATGAAACGTAACTGTGATTGAGACTGGCACTGGGGCTGGCCCAAAGCGCTCGATGAGTCACGAACAGGTATTGGAAATGGAATTGGGATTGGGATTGGGTTGACTCGTACTTAACAAAAAGACAAACCAACTAACTGAGACAAACCCACCTTATGCCGGACAAGTAGGGCAAAGCGAAGGGGAAGAAAATAAAAAAAGCAAATAAAAACAATAATTAACAGTTAGTAGGGTATTAAAGAAGTTTAAATACTCTAAGATAATATGGACATAGTTCTCTAATAAATTAGGTTAAAGCTTATGAGATCTAGGTGCTATAGAAGTTTGTTCTTGGTCAGAAAAACGTTTACGAATGCAGAGTATTTATGGAATGTATTATATATGACTGTGATATCATAAGACACAATAACTAATTAAGATATTATGTAAAACAAGACTAAAGACGCACAATCTAGTAATTATATACATAGAAATTGTTCTATAGATTCATATCTATATCTTTTAAGAACTGCAAGACTAGTTAACATATAAACAAACAGACAGACGTATATAGCTTGATATCAAACCATATCTTATCATATATTACAAAAGCTATCTTAGCTTGTAGATGAACATATATCTATACATCGACTGCCCTGCGTCACACATTGAATGACAAAATTTAGATAGCCTTTGGCAGAGTATAGAGGAATAAGGCAAAGAATACTATGAGACAGACATGAGGCATTTGCTGTTTACGTAATGCCCACCAGGTCGGTGGTAGATGGTAGATGTGTAAAGTGGTACGCGATAATCGGCAGTTTTCATATTGTGAAGCCAACTTGTGAGATTGTTGGCCAAAAGCGTAACCAAAGTCAATGTCAACAGCCGGAGGCCACACAAAAATTATTAAAGATCAATAATTATGCGACCCAGAAAGAAAAAAGCTCTGGACATTTGTGTTTTGTGACAGTTGACAGTTGGCCAACAAAGCGGGTTGAAGGTCGAGCGCTGCAGCTTAATTAGCGTGTCGACCAACGCCTTCGCCAAAAGCATTTGGTTCCTATGAAAAAATGTTGTCATCAGCGATAAGAGAAAACTGTGCGCCGAGAGTGAAGGCGAAAGCCATTTTTTATTCTTATTAAATTTGTTTTTGTTTTTGGACGGAATGCGATTCTATCTTCCGTATCATTGTCAGAGTGTTTCCGTCTATTCGGGGTATTCTTGTCGTTATGTTTTCGCTGTTAGAGAAAGCCGAGCGCAACCAAAGAATAACTTAATAGCTATTCATATTTGCGCAAGACTCGTTTTCTCATGTTCATTGTACATCAGATGATAGCTGTCATGGGAATACATTTACCAGGGACTTCACTTTAAAGATGTAATGAGATATAACTTGAAGAGAAAACGCAATTCAATCGTCCATTAACTAACTAAGTGATCTTTAAGCTAACATTGTCTAGCCGGAAGGCAATATTTATCAAACATCCGATTGTTATAGATATAGATTAATAAGCAAAAATATGGAAGTTAACAATAATACATATAGATAAGTTGATAATACATGTGGAAGTTACCAATAATGATTGTATATAGGAGTATATATTCACATGGCAAATATTTACAATGCAGATAAGCTGCGCTGTTCCGATTTATTAGTGTTAACAGTGAACATAAATAACTGTTTCCCCGTCTATTCAAAATATATTTAGAATATGTTTAAGTGACTGGCAAATCGTTCCAACAAATAACTGGAAAATACATAAAATGTTTGTTTTAAAAAAAACGATGTAAAATTTACATTTTACACTAGAAAACGTGCCTTCGTGTTGCGCAGCTCTGGCGCAAGGCCACCAACAGAGCTAAAACATTGAAATGCTTGGATGGGTTTACTTTTTATGGCCATTGAACTAAGCTCAGTAGCTGCTGCTTCGATCTATTTTGTCGCAGTTGTTGTTGTTGTTGTTGTTGGGGGCTCAGACATTGCCAAGGTAGCGCCTTTGTCTTGTCGTTGCACGACTGTCGGAGACAGTTCGTCAAAGAGAAAATTGAAAGAGTTGCACGTGCTCGACGGGTTTATGAGGCGGAAAGTTGTTTCGGCAACGGTTCACAGATAGGAAGTGCTCGTTCCGTTCAACGAATTGGAGACGCAACAACCATATCAAGAAACACTCAAAATGGCCCTAAAACAAAATTATTGAAACTAATTGAAAACAGAGTAAGCAATTCTTTATTATTTTTCTAAATCTATTCCGAGTTTTTAGGGGCGTCAAAACTCTTAAATCACCGAAAATGGGCCACGAACTGCACAACAAGAAACTCAACAAGAAACAAGTAAATTAAAGTGGGGATAGGGCACAGCCTTATCACAGCCAAAAGGGCAGTCACAGCCAGCTCGGGCATAAAACTGTAAACATATAAGTATATTTAGATGCATATGCATCTGTCTATGTGCTCATATATTATGGGGGCATGAACATTGTGAAACAGTGCTGACATTTTAGCTGCCTAATAGCTATATATATTTATATACAGAGAGATGTGAAGTTAGGTAAAAATGCTACAAAATTTAATAAGCAATTTTAGCTAGAAACTGATTAACAATTTCTTCTTCCGTCTGTGAAATAATATTGCTAAGTAGTATTAGTAGTCCAAAGCTACTTCTAGTCATTGAAAAGTTGAATTTCTGGGAAACTGATAAGCATTTCTGAATAAACACAGTGAAAGTTCTCATCAGCCTTCATTTAGTTCCAGGTTTTTATTTTAGCTTTTGTTTAGAGAGTTTTATGACTAAATTTTGACTTTTTTTGCTGCTAGAGTACTTTTGCATAACAAAGGCTATACGCCTTTCTTTCAAGAAGCTATTAACTATTTATTCCCATACCTTGTTTTTACATATAAAATGTAGCTATTTTTCAGTCATTTACATGTCTATTTAGCTATTTATGCCGGCAACACTGTCGGAAAAGAAGAACGGAACTCAATTCAGTTCGAGTTGATTTAGTTATTTTGCGCAGCTGTTGTTGTTGTTGCTTGAGTTTGGATTTTAGAATTGAAGCTGAGTGAAGAGAAACCTGTGTGACATGTGGATTTTGGGTCGTGGGTTGAATTGTGCCCCGAAGTGAACTGCGCATCTGAAGTTCGGGCGGTGGTTGTTTGGGTGCATAAGGCCTTGGGGTTGGGGGTGGCGAAAACAGATTGCTGACACATATATAGCCACGGGCGGTGTGCATGGCGACGACCCTTGTAACCAAAACTGCAAAAGAAGCTAGCTACAATGCGAGCCAAGGCGGAAAGAAAACAGGAACAGGCAGGCATTGCATAAAAAGGATTGCGTTCAAAGAGAAATGGTAGAGCGAGAGAGAATGGGAAGGCCGATTGGGGGTTGCTTTCGCTCACGCAGACAGAGCGACCGCAAGAGAGCAACTGTGAAAGTGCAAGAGAGCATAGCAGATACGCAATTTTTGCTTCCTTTCCAAACACCTATATTTGTGTGTTATCCTGGGAAATGTACCGTTTTGCATTGAAACGACGCTGTTAATCGATAAATATGTAAATGGAGAGAGTAGTAAAACCAAACATAGCAAATACGAACACTTTTTAAGAGAGAGCAAAAAAGGGAGAAAGAGACAGAGTGATGGAGACGGAGAGCGCGAACAAGTGAGAGCGAGACACAAAACAGGAGCTAAACAGGAGCAGCCGTATATTTTGTGTGTACCTACCGGAGACGACGAAAGTTTTTGGCGACGGCGACGGCGACGACGACGGCAACTCCTAGCAGCAGCCAACGGCCCCAGCCCTTTGTGCAGCAGCAGAAGCGACCATATAAAAATGCACTTTCTTCACTTAACTGCGAACAATATTCCAATGTTTTTCAGGCGCTTGCCAAACAGTAAATTTGCACTTAACACCCGTTCACTGTAATAATACTTTAAATGTACATTATGTGTACATCTGTTCGTATGTATGTATATATATACATATATATATATATATCTATATATATTATGCTGGCCAGTCGAAAATCACTGGGTACAAACGTTTATGCTTGTATTTGACACTTTTCGATTGTAGTTAATGACGCAACCGCACTTCGATGCATTCGATGAACGCAATGTAATAATTTCTTAGAATTATTTCGCGGGTGGACAATAATTTTTATCAATTTTACCGGAGCCACTTATTCGTTGCTCTGTACAATTTCGATAGCAATAATGTGTCGCCCACATCGATATTTCTGCCCCGAATGCATCGAGTACTTTTACTAAACAGCTGTGGCATCGATACATAACTTTGTGCTAGCGATAATATTCATTTTCAGTATGGATAAATTGTGCAAGCAATTTTTTTACTAATATGTCGAGAACAGCTTAAAGTACACAGTTATCCTGCACAAAAATTATATCAACTGTTGGGAATTAATTGGTTAATAGTTTATTAAAATTTATAAAACGATGAGTTATTAATGTAAAATATGGTACAAATTTAAAATTGTTTTTTTTTTAATAAAATTTCATACTTAACCGCTACTGAAAAATACCACTACTTAAAAAATACCAAATGTATCAGCTATCGATACACTGTTTGTTATTGTACATAATCAATGCAATGAGATCGGTGCATTCAACATCTTTATTTAAGTAACCGCTAAATATGATAAGTTTAAAAGTGTGGCAGTTCCCAAAGAGGGCGAATCTTTGTCTAAGCCGTCAGTACACAACTAAATCAAAGCGTGTCGTCCTGTCGCAAGACCAGGATAAAATAAAAAGTATATCGAATAAACACGTTTAATTCCCATTTGTAAATAAGCTTTTTTTCCTTTTAGATTATGAACCAAAGACCACTGATGCTCATACAAACCGTGTTTATGTATGGGGCTTCCAGGAGACTGGCGCACTAGGGCTGCAAACCAATGTAAAGAAGGCCAAAGAACGCTACACGGAAATGGTGCATCATCCAACGCGTCTGCAGTTCTCGAATAATAATGAAATCACGGATGTTACAGCCGGTTACGGCTTTACGGCATATGCGGTGAAACGTTCGGATGGGCAAACCTTGTTTGGTAGCGGGCTTAACACCGACTCACAGCTGGGCTATCAAGTGAAAGGCAATAAGAAAGATCCGGCTAATTTAGATGTGATTATCTATCCAACTGCTATTCAACTGCCACGGCTGCAGGGCGAAACGGACGAGGATATGCAAGTGAAGAGCATGTCAGCAGGTCGAGCACATCTCGTGGTGCTCACGCAGAATGGCACTGTCTTCACCATGGGTAACAATTCGTATGGCCAATGTGGCCGTTCCATTATCGAAGAGGAACGCTACTCGGGCAGCGCGCTCATCAACCGAATAGCCCAGGCAGATATTTGCGGTGCAGACGATGAGCTTGTGGCTGTGGAATGCGGGCAGGATCATACGATGCTGCTGACCAAGCTGGGGCGCGTCTACACCTGCGGCTGGGGTGCCGATGGCCAGACAGGACAGGGCAATTACTACAGCGCCGGCCAGATTACGCTCATTGGTGGCGACATTGAGAAGGAGCGTATTGTGCGCATTGCTTGTGCCTCGGATTGTGTGCTGGCACTCAACGAAAAGGGCGATGTCTTTGGCTGGGGCAACTCGGAATATGGCCAGCTTGATGATTCGGCAGATGCAGTAACACAGATCTGCACACCCCGAGCTCTGCAGCTAACCAAGGGTTTGGGCAAAGTCAAGGATGTAGCAGCAGGCGGTTCCTTTTGCATGGCGCTCAATGATCAGGGCCTGGTCTACACCTGGGGCTTTGGCATCTTGGGCTTTGGACCGTTTGTGGAACAAACTTCGAAGCCGCAACATTTGTTGCCACCGTTGTTTGGACGCAACGATTTCAGCAACGCTACCACTGTGGTTTCCATCGGCTGCGGAGTCTTTCACATGGGCGCCGTGAACTCTGACGGAGATCTGTTTATGTGGGGAAAGAATCGTTTTGGCCACCTGGGACTGGGCCATAAAAAAGATCAGTTCTTTCCCTTCAAGGCGGCCATCAATGGGAAGGCGCTAAAAGTGGCCTACGGTGTGGATCATACTATAGCTCTGTGCCGCCCGCATATATAAATAAATAATTAAACAAATTGAATTAAAGATCACAAATTCGCGTTTTTAATACATTGAAATCGATTAAAGAACATTTAGATTAATTTGCTTTTATCTTTTGGTTTTCTGATAATTTTGTTGACAATTTTCTTTCTTTCTTTTAGCAAATGTAAATAGCTGCGTTTTTTTCGTTTTTTTTCCTTTCGATTTTTCGTTCTATATAAATATTTGTTTAGCACGCGTACGCATTGATAGTTTATAGAGTTAAAGAGTATATAATATAAAATATGTACTTGGAATCGAATGCAGTGTGTATTTTATTTTCATATATGTTTTAAGTTGGATTTGGGTGTTTATTTTTATTTCTAATTTCTTGTTAGGTTTACCCTTTATTCTCATATACAATAGAAGGTTTGCTGGAATCCTAGATCTCTACTACTAATTCCCTCAGTTACATTCCAAGCCCAAATCGCACTCTTCTTTTGTTTTTGTTTTTTTTTTTTTGTTTCTTAGTATTTGTCACAATTTCGTCAATCGCATTTAATTGCTTTCTAGGTACATTTCTTAACAGGGTTTCATTTTATGTTATCTTTATATATGATTTTTCTTTATTCTTAACTGAGCTCAACGAGCCATAGAACTCATCGAACCGCTTGGCCAATACAATACGATCTGTTAACAGTTGATAAGCATGGTTACATCGATCTTAAGGATAAACGCGTGACAAATTTAGGATCATTGATACGAACACGCACGACCCAACGCGACTTAACATTGCTATTTAAAAAACATATGGCATACACATTACACAAACTAAATTAAACTAATTAATATTGAAACTTAAATTTTTAAAGTTAACTCATTTTTCTTCCGAAAATCTTTTTTGCTTAATTTAAAACTGATTAAAAGGCAATTGTAAATTAACTAGATAATTTATTTATTATTTAATTTTTAAGCGAGATCTGGGAACTAATTAAAAAATTTCAAAGCAAAGCAAAATTTTAAATAAAAAATATGCATAAATACATATATGTTTAATACACATATATATATATATATATATATATAGTTAGTCTACATATACATATATACATATACAATATTAATATATATATATATATATCTATACAAATTTAATATAAATAAAAAACATACATATATATACGTTATTTATACATATATACATATATATATGTAGACTGCCCACATATACATATATACATAAATAATAATAATATATATATATATATATTTATTTATAAAAATTGCAATAATATGCCACATATGATAAAACTGCAGAAGTCATGTTGATATTTACGTGTTTTTAAACCGAAGTCGTCTCTAAATCGAAAATTCGGCACGCGCCCATCTTAAAATCGAACTACAGACTAAGAGTTGAGGCATTCGCCTACAGATCATTTTGTTTTACACACGCACACACACTTACAGAAATCAATACTATTTTGTTTGTCTTTGTTTTTGTTGTTGTCCATTCGTTTTTTTTTTTGCTTTTAGTTTTTTCTATGTTAATAATTTAAAACATTTGGAGCATGCGACCAACTGTAGTCTCGGCCACTTAATGCTGCAGAGCTTCGTTCGCCTCGTAGGCCTCAACCTCGGCTATATTTGCCAGATCATACTCAACCACGCCCTTTCCCATGAAAGCTGCATACTTGCCGGCATCTGGCAGAGGATCAGCTGAGCGCTTGGCCACTGTAAAACACAAAAAAGTTTAGTTAGGCAAATGAGTGACAGTATAAAAGTCGGGCATGCCCGACTGATGGAAACTTTCAGTTAGTTAATGTTCGACTTACCCCCAGATACGAATTTCTCCATCATGTAGACCTTCATGTCGTAGCATTCATTGGCTATGCGCTCCGAGATGAGAGAGAGGTCGGTGATACGTGGTGTAATTACGCGCATATTACGACGGACGCGATCCGTATCGATGTTATAGTAACCGGATCCCATTTTCTGCATCAGATCTAAAAAGTTGCTGGGCGGGAGAGTGGTGTCCCGGTCCAGTGGCATGATGAAGCAACGATTGGTGGTGGTGTCAATAATGGCTGACTGGTTTTCCTTGAAGTCATGCATGAATCGCCCACGGCGGCCATCCTTAAAGTCCGGCACATCGATTTTGGCAAACGCATCGTCATCACTGCTATCAAGTTCGATTTCCTCGCGAAAGAAGTTATCGTTAACTAACTCATCGAACTGACCGCCCATGCTGTTGCTCGCACTGGGTGACCCGGATAATTGAGGCAACAGGGAGCGCCAGTTCAAGGCGAAGGCGTCGTCGTTGCGTGCATAGAAACGAGGCAATTCAATCGAGTCTTCCTTATAGGGTATGTCGCAGAGTGCGTGGTAGCGCATGCTGGAATGATTTGGGGCATATATCCGATAAAGGGTCCAGCCTCCCAGCACGCCCATTAGCATTACGATAATGGCGATCAGGAACAAAAGAAACGATTTTAGACAATTATATTGCGGCCGGTTGAAAACCATCGATTCAGTATCGGCATCGCTATACCCTCCTTTTGGCTACAAATTAAAGAACGATAAAAAGACATATATTTAGTATACACATAATATGAGGCACATTATGCCTTGTTACTATATTCCAAATCCTGATTCACCTCAGTAAGTAGTTTATATTTAGTATATATATATATAAATACTTTGTATAAACGAGACTTGCTCAATTTATAGCAACTACTGGTAATTCCCAATGACTAATAACAGTATATTTCAAACAGATGAAATTTTACAATGAATAACTGTGGTATATATATATATATATGTTTGTATGTACTTCAGTGCCGGCTAACTAACCTTTGTTTTTATTTCCTTATCGCAAATCATAAGGATATACCGCACGAAAATGCAAATAAAAAACAAAAGCAAGTAAACAATAGGTATATGTAAATACATAAAAAACAGCAAAAGAAATTGATAGGTGCAGAGCATTTAGCTATTTTTAGCATTTTTTCTTCTTCAAAAATAGCTAACTGTATTTTGAATTGTAGAAAAGGCTTACCTTCTATTAAAATTATATTTTATTTCACTGTGCGTTTATTTTCAGAATTATTTATGGCTCAGTTATCAATAAAAAAATGTATATCTACTTTTTTTTGTAGCTTTTTAACTATTATTTTCTACTTTTTATCAACACATACGTTATTTACATGTGTCATGTTTGTGTGCACTTATCGCTGACGAGCAAAGGGCAAAAATTGTTTTTGTGCTCGAATGCGGCGCAATTGGAGAAGAGAAGAGAAAACGTAAATGCAATGATATATGTGTGCATGTCTCTATGTATGTATTTATTCAGCTGCAATATCAACATTCGCAAGAGTACACTTAGAGTGCACACACACACATACATACATGCATGCATGTCGATGCATATGTACGTGTCTCTATATATCTAGCCATTTGCATGTTCTACTGGAAAATATGTACTCGAACCATTCACATTGGGCACAAAAGCATAATATTATATATTTGGGTTGAAAAAAAGGGTCGAGAAATAGCTGTCGGGGCAAACTGAAGTCGTGCTGCTGACTGGCAATGCCAAAGCTGTGCGACCTTAAATGGAGCAAAGGAAGGAGTGCAAGGACACACACATGGGAATTCCATGTGAAAAATCGATAAATATGCATGCTGCCGAGAGCAGAAACACACACTCGCGACTACATACTTTTGCATGTACACAGAAAATCTTACAGTAACAGACGCCCACAAGCGCGCACTCACCCACACAAACACATACAGGCTTGCGCGCGAAGGCGAACGAAAACGAAAACTTGTAGCGCTGCTGGCACGAAGGACACGTAGGATATGTGGGGCTCGCAAGGACACACGAAACGATTGCGCAAAAGAAAATGTTTACTGTCTTACTTTACTTACACTGATCAGTGAGCCATGATGCATGATAGCTTCATCGTTGAGATGTAATGGAAGCGGAACCTTCTCCAAATCCTTTTTTTCACCTGTTAATTTTGCTAGAATCGTCATTTTTTCTTTTGGTATTCAGATTGTGTTCCTAGGTTGTTGAGCAATTTGGATTCGAATTTTTTTAAAAAGATGACCGAAAAAATAGATCCTAGACGTTTTATGCAAACTACACCTTAGTGATGTTTACTCTTCAATAATATTTTTCACTTTGTTTTTGTGTAGCGCAGCAAACTGCGTAGGCAAGTAGCCAGCTAAGCGATATATTTTCACTTGTTTGCAGTTACTAGCATTTGCAGTAACGATGTATTTCTTATCGATAGTGATAAATACAAAAGACTTATTTCCCTTTAATATTGGGAATACAAAAGTTATTTATTTATATTCGTTTTTTTATTAAGGGGTGTGGCGATTTTACAAGAATGACTTGTAGTAGGTTAGGTTTCTTTGAGTCATATTACAAATTACCTCTAGGGAAAAAAACGGGTTTTTGTAATGTATCGATACTTCATCGTAATGTAGATATGTTTTACAATAGATTCTGTTTTATTACGCGTAGTAATTAGACCTCTATTTCATACAATGTTGTTTAAGGAGTAAGGCATTTATATATTCAAACAATGAATGTAACATACGGAACAATTATTTGTTATTGTGCCCGTGGAAGCGATAATTTATCGAAAACTCGTCGCTTGTTATCGCTGGAATGTATGACAGTTGACATGCATGATGGTTTGACGGAAGATTTAATCTGTACTATTAACTGAATTCTTAGATGTACAAAAGGGACTTCAGGGCTTACAACTATTTATGACTATGTTGATTCGATAGGAAGGCCAGATGACCCTTGGGGCACTTGTTGGCATAGTGGCCCTTGTGTCCACATTTGTAGCAGGTGATCTCCTCCAGCGGCGTGGGCACTTTGATAAACGGTGGTGGTGGATGATTCGGAACACCATCTTCATTATTGTCACCGCTATGGTCCATGGCGTTGATGTTATTGCGATGCTCCAGACTGCCCACATACTGTTTACACGAATTCGCCTTATGGCCGAGCTCGCCGCAATAGTGGCACGTAGGCAGTTTTTTGTGCAGTTGATCCTTGCTGAGATCGGCGAGGGGCGGCAGCTCGAAGCGTGGATGCATATGCTTGCAGTTGGGTCCCTCCGGACAGAAGCCGGCCAGGTAGTTCATGCACAGCACACGCCGCAGATGCTGATGTCGACAGTGCGGCCCATGGCGGCAGAATCCACGTTTATACCACGGACAGTCTTTCACCTTGCTCTGTGGGTCGATGTGCAGGAACGGGCACTCTTTGTTGTGGCAGGCATTGAAACGCGAATAGAAATAACACTCTGGCATTTTCGTCATGTCGTACTCGTGCAGAAACTCGCACTGGTCGCCCTTTTTACACAAACCACGCAGCCAGTGCTTACAGACGATGGTGCGATCGCCCCGTATGTGCCGAAATGGGCAGGCGCTTCCTTTGTCGCATTCTTGGCCATTTTTTGTGATGAAATTGCAGACGGCGGCTATGGACTTGTCCATGCCATAGAACGGCAGTGGTATGGCGCCCACCTGTTCGATAAGGTCGCGCTCCGCTTTAAACTGGAGGCTGTTTACGTTGGCCAAAAGTATATCCATCTTATTGCGGTACTTTTCTCATGAAACAATAAAATAAAAGAGCGCGTTGTTTTGGGATTTGTTTTTTTTTTGGCATAACACGCGCAAGTATCGATATTAGCACGATATCTTGCCAGTGCATATCGATACTTGGATATTAAAGCAAGTATACAGTTCATGCAGTTTAAATAAATTTAGTCCGCTAAATAATTAGACCGAACAAATTCTAATATAAAAGTACTCTGTCAAGATCAATGGACTGGCATGATTATTACTCCCACGTGAAAACAAACAACAACAAAATACAATAACAATTTTAATTAAAATTCTTTAATTAATTATTATAGCTATTACTTTTTTTACTATATCATATTAATAAAATGAAAATATAGTGAATACTTATTTTTAAATATACCTTAATGACTAGATATATTAATGGTGAATTTTTCTCTATGCGCGATATATGTTCTGCAGCCGCATACTAGCCTTTATCATTTGTTTACGCTCTGGCGCTGCAATTAAAGATGTTTCTTCGGCTAAAAGGTTAAAAACTAATTGCGGCAAAATTGGGCGTGTGGAAGTTATGTGGAGACGCCACGAAGAGCCAGAATTTAAAGATAAAAGCGTCGTCCGCTAACCATGTTGCCCACGTACGAGCGTCTGAACGAGCCCAAACGGGTCTTCTTTCGCATAACATTTGCCCGGCTGTCGGTGACAGCGCTCAGTTTGCCATTGAGCGCGTTTTGTTTTTGTGTGGTGTGGTCGCTGGTATTTGACTTTGTACGCTCCACGTTTACGCATTGCGACGTGGCCAACTACTTGCCCTCGGTATCGGCGGCAATTGGAAATTATGAGCCACAAAAAACTGTGTGGCGTTTGGCCATCATATTGCATCTGCCATTGCGTCTGACTGTGACTCGCATGTACTTGGAATACTATAGGGAGCATATCAAGCGCAATCGTCGCATGTTTGGCATCTTGGCCTGCACGCTGAATGTCATCGAGAATTTCGCTCTGTTCTGTTTGTCGCTATGGACATCGGCAGACAATTATGAGATCCATCGCAATTCGTTTGTGGTGTTCATAGCCTGCAGTGAATGCTATATGTTGATGTCATATCTGTTAAACAGGAGTGCCCGCAAATCCGTTCTTCTGCCACATGAGGAGAAATCGTTGCGCTACAAACGAAATCTCTTTCTGATCAACGTGCTTGCATTTGGCCTCGCAGGCTATTGTTTCATGCGGCACAACGCACGCTGTGAGGCTGGTGGTAAGCTTTCGATATAGATTCGATACATCTCCTTAATGGTCCATCACTAATTCAAGCAATTTTCCTTTTCACAGTTTACACATTCTTCGCGCTCTTCGAGTATATTGTGGTGCTTACGAATATGGGCTTCCATATGACAGCCTATTGGGACTTTCATTCGTTCAGCATTCATTGCGATGCGCGAAATGGATTCCATATAATGCGCTATTAGCTTGACTTAGTTAAAGGAAAGTCCATCGTCCAGCGACGTATTCCTGTATATATATATGTATCTGCGGTTCTAGCTTAAGCTCAAAGTTTACTTAATTTAACTTAAGAAATTCCTGATTTTTCTGTATCAACACAGTCATTTAGAAACTGAACTAACTTTTATTTAAATATAAATATACAAGTGTCAACCAAAAACAACTAACACATGCTTATATAAACATGGTCGATCGGCTAAAGTTGCTGCCAGTCTCAGCCAAGGACTTGGAGATCACTGTTGTTTCACGCTACAGAATATCAGTGGGTCATCTGCTGCTCATTGGTTGCTCATTCACGAATGCCTTAACAATTTTTACCATTCTGAAGACCGTTGTAGTGGACTATGAGAGATCAACGTTTACGCATTGCAATGTTCTGCACATAGTGCCATCCATGTCGGCGGTGATTCATGCCAACCAATCCTGCTGGAAGCTATTGACTTGGTCGCATCTACCAGTGCGTCTACTGATCGCCTGGCTATATTGGCGCTATCAGCGACGCATACTGCCCCGACGAACAGGCCTGCTGATCTACCTCTTTATAATGTTCTTCATACTGAACAATATTAGCAGCATTGCCATTGCAGAGTTTGGCGATGTAACGGGCGTCAATATGATTCATGTGGTGCCAGCGCTTAGCAGTTGGGTAACTAGCTGTGGCTTCATGGCCATCTCATTTTACTGCTTTACTGGCTTCGTACATAAGGAGCCACGCGAGCGTCTTTCATATGTGCTCAAACGCAAACTGTTGCTGTCTTGCCTATCCGCCAGTGTCGTCTTATGGCCATTATATTTCTTGCACACGGAATTGTGTGTGCCTTTGGGTACGTGCCAACTGTTCTGATCCTCCCATTACGATTCAGTATAGCAGATCAGTATCTATTATATACTCTTCTTAACACTCTACCTCTATCTCTCCAGCGTACTCCTTTTTCGCGATTTGTGAACACATTCTGACTTTGTGTACTATGGGCTATGTGTGGACATCGTATCTCGACTTCCATAAAGTTTATATATTCTATAGCATGCAACATGGAATCTATATAACAGATATCTGATATGAAACTTTTTGATATGAACAACATTTTAATACAAAACAAATACAATTTAGATCTTGGCTACGTTTCGTAGATGCGCACTAAATCTTCTATGGTAATTGGATAGCTAGTCACAGGACATGTGCCATGTTCCTTCAGATGTATTACAATGCACTTCCAGCAGTAGACGTAACCGGACACAGCGCATGCTGTAGGTGTTTGCAGTGGCAGCAGACAAACTGGACATTCTCCGCTCTTGGGTAACGTTTCCTTCAGCTCCTTGGGTAACTCACGCTCTGGCATGGCCTCTGGGTTTTGTAGAGTGCCACCGAGCTTCCGGCGCTGATCGTTTGAGTACCACCACTGTATGAACTGCAGGAAAAATGCCAGCACCTCCAGCATCTTAAGAAATATATATGTCCATTTGTCTTCCTTGGGCGGCTCGCTGGGATAGCGAAGCGTGAGGTGCAGAGCGCGAAACAGCGGCGAGTGGCTGGTCGCGTACTTGATTAAGTACAGGAATGTGTGCACAGCCTTTGACGCGTTATAGACATGGAATAAATTAATAAGTTGCGATTCCCATGCATATATATTCTCATGATGCACACTGCGTGCTCGCAATTTGCGTTCTATGTAAGGAAGAAAGGTAAGGAGAGTCGCAGAGGTGAATTGTTGTTGACGGGTCAGTAGCTCGCCTGTTAAGGTGGCAGTACGCTGAAGTCCATAGAAGCTTTCGCCAAATGAAGAGGCCCTTTTGCGCAAATACAAATACTGTAGAATCCAGGTGATAATCGGTGATAGCTCTTCTCGTACGCGTAAATTGCCCCAAAGCTTAAAGTCCAAACGCAGGCCGAAGTAGTCAAAGACTTTGCTAAGGGCCGGGTAGATAAGATTGTCTAGGGTCTCAGCGGCAGATATTTCAAAGATCGAGGGCACATTCTGCAGATTCTGACGCACATTTGCAGCCTCAGCCATGGCGGAGAGGTTGTGTTGTCTTGCCTTTTACATTTATCTATAATAAAAGTTATTATGCGCCAACAATTGTTCAAGTATTTATTATCAAAGTATCGTTTGATTATCAAAGTATCGATTGCTTATTGGCTAGCCGCCACAAATGTTAGTCGCAGCTGTTTCCAATTTTGTTTATAAAATATCGCTTGAACTATTGAGCAGCTGCAACAGTTAAATAAATAAAAGTGTTAAAATAAGAAAACAGTATGAAAACGACAGGCGGTGGCTCGTCGGAGGAGCCGGCCAAATCTCTAGGCAAAATAAGCAAAAAGTCTACAAAATCGCGTTCCAAAAATACCAAATTGGAAACTGGTAGCAAGAACTCGGCCTCAGTGTCTAATGTGGGCGTACCAGTAGGCAGCTTGCCATCCACGCCCACTCATCTAAACATGGCCACAACGCCTACGACCCCAACTACTACTTTGATCAACTACAATCTATTTGATGCGTCCTTTGCTGTGTCTGGACATGCACAAGGTGTTGGATTGGAAATGAACAACAGTTCCGGCAAAGCTGTAAGTAAGGTGTAAAACTGCCTAAATTTGGTTAAATAGGCCTTACATTGCAGGGCCACCATAAGAGCTATGCCGGCTTTGATCCGCGCAGTATTAAAATCTTCTGGGAGCAACATGATCAAACGGATGTGGAACTATCACAGGATGTGTGCGCCCGCCTAGCGGAGGATGCATCGTACAAAGTTTGGGAGCTTATAAATGTATGCACATTGTATTTAACGTTTAAAATACGTTTTATTGTAACATAATTTCCCAGAATGTGAAGATTTATTCGCGTCACTCGGGCGGCGTGGTCACTTACGATCTAGTCAATGAGGTGCTCAAGGATGCGGATGTGCCGCCCATGCTGGGTGCTATGGACAGCGATTGGGATTGTATTGATTACGATGGCAGCTATTTCTTTCACTCGGATAAAATTTTTGAACTACGCGATGAGTTTCAAAAGGATATTGCGCTCTCGCTGCCAAACGATGCGGACTTCCATTGCATCTGCGCGGTGGAGGAAAAGAATACAGATCACTTAAAGCAGTTTGTGCAGAGTCTGGTAACAGGTAGGTGGTCTTACAGCTGTACTGACTGTTTATCTAATTAACTTCTGTTTTAGCTGCCATCTTCGGCGATGCTCAGTCACGTGGAGTGGCCCTTGCGCAGGCCTTTCAAACGCCTTTAATGGGCGCTTGCTATCGCGTCATAATTAGTAAAATGCTCCAGATGCTCGCCTTTAAACAGCACGATCAGGTGAGCCAACGCTGCTGGCGATTGTTGCGCGCTTGTAATTACAATGCGCAGGCGAATCAGATTAATTGTCGGCCGGAATATTTCAACTTGGCCGAGGTGCTCATCAGCCAGCTTATGGCGCCATATGAAACCATCAAGGTGGCCGACAGCAGGCCGCAATCACAGCATGTGCCAGTTGCAATGGAGCTTGATAAAGAGCTCAAGCTAGAGCCCGGCCTGGGCAGCGATATGCAACGTGAACCATATGGCAATCAAGGCATGGACGTAGAAAATCAACAGCAGGAACAGCCACAGCCACAGTCACAGCAACACCAGTTAGAACAGCAACCATCGCAACAGCCAATTCCTGAGATTACCTTCACTAGTGATGCCTCACAGGAGCAAACCATATACAAGCTGCAGCTAGACGATGATAGCAGCGAAGCCGCCGACAAACAGCAGCATGAGGAGCCACAGCAGCTCTCCAGCTACTTTGCCAGTCCCGTGGGCAGCAGCTATGTGGATGAGCTATGCGAAACTCTTGGCCAAATGGCCGCCCAAAGTGGATATTTGCATTCCGAATGCTTATTTTTGATTAAGCGACGATTGGCGAGATTTTTTGAAGGTCGTGCCGTGTGCAGCGAACGTGGTAGGAGCAATACTATATTTAACGCTTTACTTTGGCTAACTTTCATTTTAACAGATTTTCAGTACATTAGCCGAGCCATACGTGGGCTTATTGCATTGGGTGAATATGCCTTTCGAGAGTTTATACCCTATATTTACAAGCTGAATGTAAACGATGTGCCCGATAGTCTATGGCGGGATTTGGCACCAGCTGCCATATTTCTAGGAGGACGCGATGATATACACTTGTACGAGTGGCTCGAATTTGGTTGCGGAGCCAGTCTGCAGCCTTTTTTGGTGCACTATGCCAGTGAGTATATGCCCTGAAATTTTGCTTTAAAATATATTGATATCTTTGTTTTTAGATGCATATGAGAAAATGATCTCCAAGCGATATCTACATGCCAGACAGTTTGCCTTCCGATTCGAGGCGCAGCCCGGCGTGCGTCGCTTAGAATGGAGCACTTTGGCAGCTGCCATGTGTCATGGCGATGATCCCAGCAAGGCTATCAAACCGAAGCCCACAATGGATGAGGCGTTTCCAGAGCTGGTGCAGCCGAATCTGCGACTCAATTGCACTGGCACCATACGCTTCAAATTTGCCGGCTGCCGACCAGTTCTACTCAAGCCGAAGGGCGTAACGGCAGTGCAGTTCATGGATTCGCCTTCAACGAACGGGGGCAACGATATTGTACACTCCGACATACTCATAGCTAAGCGTAAGATCTATAAGCCACCAAGCAATGTGCGGCGCGTGTTAGCCAACAGTGGCTACCACTACATGCGCATATAAGGCGTGGCAATAAAATCAATATTATATTAAATCAAATTAATTGATAAAACTTTATTATAACAATATACTCTAGAAGGCCTCCTCTTGGGGCACTGGTACGCCCGCGTCCTTCATGTCAGCCATGATGCGCTTGTTGATAATGTTTTTAATATTAGCATTCACATCAGGCAGCAATCCTCCAGTGCGCGCTGCATGCTCTATGCGCTGCACCACATCGATTTCACGGCGGGATGAAATGAAGTTCGTGACTAGCGAGTTATCCAAGCTGCCTACGCGACCAATGCGACCGCAGCGATGTATATAATCGGAGATGTGCAGCGGAAAGTCAAAGTTGACTACGTGACGTGCACGCGTTGTATCCAGACCTCGACTGCCCACATCTGTTGTGGACAGAACATCGCAATCGCCACGTTGAAACTCCTCGAAGCGGCCAATGCGAATCTTCATTAACATATCGCCATTTAAATTAAGGCAATTGACGCCGCTGTTATTCAAGAATATGGAGACATAGTCGCTAGTAGCCGACTTATTGCTGAACACAATGAGTGGACGTCGTTTGGCCAGATCTCGTTTGACCAGAGACAACAAATTGGCTGGCCGATCTGCCTTGGCCATGCGCAGAAACCTTTGCGTTACATGTGGCATGAGATGATGCAAATGCGGACTGACAACTTCCCTTATGGTTTCCACATCGATGACACGTTGGAGAATCTCTCGCGTATTCGTGGGCATGGTGGCCGAGGCGAGCAGCAGTTGTGTGCCCACGATCTTCGCATCTTGGACATGATTTTTGTGAAACTGTTCGAGAAATAAACTTTAGCAGCTGTATCTCTTAGAGAGTTCGAGACTTACGGGAAATCTTCTCAAGAAGTATGTGAGCTTTTCTGTAAAGGAGTCGTCTAGCAGCGTGTCTGCCTCGTCCAGCACAACATGACGTACCTGGTCCATGTGATAGATGCCGGTTGTAACCAACTTGCTGACGGCACCCAATGTTGCCACCAATATGTCCACCTTGGCGAAGTGTGGATTCAGCATCAGCTGCTTCGTGTTCCCACCCAGCAACGCGGTCACATTCAGTTGTGTATCCTTGCACAGCTTTTGGGCCACTTGTGCAATTTGCGTTGCCAGTTCGCGTCCAGGAGTCAGTATCAATATCCTTGGCGTATTTAATCTTAGCTTGTCTTCCTCTGGGCAATGCTCCTTAAGCGTCTTATTAAGTATTGGCAACAGGTAGGCGAGTGTCTTGCCACAGCCCGTCTCAGCGGCAATTAACGTGTGAAAGCTGTCATCCACAAGGGGAATAGCTTGTGCTTGAATGCTCGTCAGTTGCTTTATGCCCAGCTCCTGTTGCAGATTTTCCAACAGCTGTGGATGCAGTTGGATTTGCGATGTTGCCAGGTATTCACTCAAGCTCTGCATCTCCGCTATTCGCTGTTCGCTGCTAATGCTAGGATTTAGTGTAAAGTGATCGTTTTTGGATTTGTTGTGTAGCCAACCCTTGGAGCACAGTGGGACTGTTCCAAACTTCGCGTCCGCTCGTTCATGTTGCAACAGATTGAATTGTGTGCGTTTGCAGCTGATAAGTGGTTTATTATATTCTCTTTCTATCGTCTTGGCTTTTGTGGCAGTTTTGGCATATTGCCGTCGCACTTGATGGCGTAGCAGCAGCGAAAGATTCTGTAACATTTTTTAGCTAATGTTTTTCGTTTGGTTTTCACGCCGCAATCAGCTGTTCGTTTGTTTAACTGCCGGTCATGTAACGGCCTTCCAGTGCTGTGAGGTGCTGCGAACGACAGTGCTGCCCATCGTTACGATGAAATTGTGTTTATCGATAACGTAAAGCATCGTCTGCGCGCGAAAAAGTAAACGACATGGCAGGTATTATTTTTTGCTGTTGAAAATATATAAGTAATGTTTACATAAAATGTGGGTGTTAAATGTGTGTTTATTAAAGTGTCTGCATGTATACTATGCTTGAAAAGTCGGATTACAATGCGGTGCTGCGCTTAGCGAAGCTGTTGAATGTAAATGAGAATAGTTCATATTTTAAATGGAACCTAATGAAATATATAAATGATAGGAAGTTAATATTTGATTGTACACCTATTCGTATGTATGTATGTGTGTATGCACATATGCATGGACATGGAAGTACTACACATAACCTAGTCGGACTGGCTTGCCTTCAATATGTCCTGACCAACACATTATTTTTCACGCTTAACGATGAAATTGTTTCTGAAATGCTGTGCTTTTTAATAAATTCGCAGTGAAGTTGTAAATATGTTAAAAATACTATATAATTAATTTAAGTTGTAATAATGTTTTACTATGTATGGCTGCTTTTTAGTTTACTAAAAATCTAAAACAAAAACAATTTTGAGGAAAGATACTTAATTAGTGTGTTTTTTAAAAGAAAGATACTTTTATATACTTATGATTGTTCCACAAACCATTATTTCATACATAAATATATCATAATATATTCATATAAGCAAATACATATTATATATAGCTCATAAAACTACGTGGTATATATATGTTGTCGCCTTATCTGTGTGTTTATCATGATTTCTTCTTCTTTTTGTAATTTTGACTTTAGAGACGTTAATAACAAAAAAAGTTAAAAGTTGATTGTCAAATTTTCGGCGAAATTGCAGCGACAAAACGGCTCATAAAAGTGCATGAACATTTTCGGCCTTATGGCAGCAGGGGAAGAACTTACCCAAAAGGAATTCACTTTTATGCGTGCGTATCTGTGTGGGTGTGTGTGTGTGTGCGTGCGTATCTGTGTGTGTGGCTTATATTTTCACTGTTAATTTTGGCGTTGCGACTGTGGGTGGTAGGTGGTCCCGCCCGGACCACGCCCACATTTTTAATATGCTTTAAGTAATTTGTGCACATTTTCGAATTTTTATCGCGGCCACAAAACTTTGTCCTTTTGAATTTAGCAATGCCGCCAACTGCAAACTGTTGGTCTTCTGGCCTCTGTTCTTTGCCTTTGTCCTTTGGCCCTCCTCGTTGACATGCCCTTTGTCCTACGCAGCCTGTCTGTCTCTCTGTCTTGTGCCCAATGTCAATGCTTGTTGGCGAGCGTGTAATGATGACTTTATGACTTTATTTACGTGCAATAAAAGCAACAATTCAGATCACACAGAAATACACGCAGAGAAAAGGGGTAAGTTTTAGTATTACGTAAAATGGAGCTTAAAATATAGTAAACATATAAACTGTATATAAATATAAAATTGAATTAACTGTACTATTTTGATTAAGTTTCAAGTTTTTAATTTGAAGAATTTGTGTATTTAAAAAGTTGAATTTGTTTGATTTATTTCGATGTTCACCTAATACCTAATTTCTTTGAGTGTAAATAAGTAGCACACATACAAATACCGCGAATGCTTTGGAAGTTTTCTTTCTTTCTCAATATTAAAGCGATTTGCAACTTAATTTATTCCATTTGCTTCCTCCTTTTCATTTGGGCTGAATTTTAATTCTGCCTTTTTAGTTTTGGGCTTAAATATGTTAAATACCAGCTGCGCGTGTGTCTCTACCTTTTTGATGTCAGAAGCCCACCCATGCCCGTTGCCTCCAGTGTGTGTGCAGGCGTGCGTGTGTGTGTGTCAGTTTGTTGTGTGTTGTTGCCATGTGTCTTTCTCAAGTTACTGACAAAAAATTTGCAATTCCAATGATAAAAGTGTTATACAAGTCGTGCACAACACATGTGTGAGCATTTTTGCATGCACTACTACACTGAAAGAAGAGGATGGGTAAAATGATGAGCTTGAATAAACAAATTTAAGGGCAGAGCTATAGCCTTTAATCTTATTAAGTCTGCTTTCTAATTTTACCATGAGAATCATATTGAAGGGCGTCGCTTAGAAAGAAATCTCTATTTTCTTAGTCTGCTTATAGCTAATTTCTTTCAGTGTATATTCACGCCTGATTCGATATGTTTTTCTAATGTTTTTATAATCAAGCAAATGCAATAATAATAGCCAAATGCAAGCTCGAATTATGTTAATGCTTGTTCGTTCACTAAAAATGTGCCTCCAAAATAATACAGCTACACCACATGCGCCGCAAATAGCCTGTGGCCACAGAGTACGACCTCACGTTGCCTGCTCCAGCGCCAGCGCCAATAGATTAAATCACAGTTGGCGTGAGGCGTGCGAGCATAATGCGTCTGGTGTCGGCTCTCTGACCGCTGACAGGCATCAAAATGTTGTTGCCAGGACATTTGCATTTGAGGCTAAGCGTAAAAGCTAGCTGATAAAAATATAGTTGAACAACAGTCCTGCGGATAGGTGCCTTGTATGATTGAAATTTGCATAGCTGCAAAATTTGTTGTGAAATGTGTCCCGTGCAGCCAGTGAGTGGGCGCGGCAGAAGGAGCAGTGAGAGCGTGGGCGGCATTTGCGTATGTGCGTATGCCTAAAATTTAAGCCAGCCAGGCCCGTGTCACAACACTAACATGCCACACACTTGACGACACTCGCAGACATTGCAGCCAAGCAGCGGCCAGTCAGAGAGTGGGTAGATGTAGATGTGGGGGGCGCAGCGTCAACCGCAGCGCGCGTGAAATGCATTTAACATTTTCTGTTGCCTACTTTTCAGCGTCAAATTACAGCCGCGTCGAGTGCTGCTCGCTTTGTGAATCTGCGAGTTTACGTATGTGTGTGTGTGTGTGTGTGATATACAAGTGTTTTACAACACTTTAAAATGTGCATTACAGACACAAAGCTCAACTTGACGTAGTTGTTTGTATAATTATTATATGTTTACTGATTTAATGTGCGATACTTGTAGCTTTATAGCTTTTCAGCCAAAAGACAAATGCTGAAATTGAGGCAGATTCAGCTGCTACTGCTGTGATGTTGCTCTGTGTGTGTGTGTGTCTGTGTGCTTAAGGCCATGTGTGTTTACACAGGCTTAAAAACAACAACATTGTTTCTCGGATTTAGTTTACTGCTGAGGCTTTTATGGGCTTAACATATTAATTAAACTTGAAGTGGAAACACACAGAAAAACTTGACCGGTTCAACTTTAAATTAGATTTTAATCTGTTGCTCATATTTAAACAGACAATAGATTTCATGTGTGGGTGGTTTAAGTGTGTGTGTGTTTGTGTGTCTGTGTGCATGCACAGTTATATATATATATGGCAACAGAGCAAACGTGTTGGCAAATGTGGTCAGCTTTTGCGGCTATCACAGCCAATAGTGCTATACCCAGTGTGACTGAGATATGGAGTATATAGATGGGCTTTAAATGAAGATGTAATAGAAGATGATGATTCGGTACATGATAGTGCTAAGATATATGTTTTTAAGCAAACTCGTAAGCATGTAAAGCTAAGTCTGTCACTGATTACCTCGTCAGTCTCCTCAATCAAACTGGTTTCAAAGCCACAATTATAGATTGAATTATATATTGGATAGGAAACTCATATATATATTATGTAAATTTTACCCTAGCTTAAAATAAAATAGGAAATAAAGCTCTCATTTAAATGTAGTTCACTTAAGTATTTTTTCATCAGTAGAATTGACTTTGAAGTATAGACATTTATGTTAGTAAGGATATTTTCTAGCTGATCATTTATCCACATCAGCATATTTTCCATACCAGTGTGTGTGATTGGCTGTGAAGCAATAAAGAATTGCGAAGCTACAGGCTATTTTCTAGTTGAGCATTTCTAAATGTAGTTCACCATGGAGCACCTGTACCGACACACATATATGTTTCACTGTATCTGTGGCATGCACATATCTAATTGAAATGGGATGAAAGCGAATAGAATGGAATAGCAGGAACACTTTGAGTTGCGTTCGACAAACTGTTAGCTGACGGGCAACACGATTTGGTAGCCCCAACAGCGGGCACTGTACACGCATAAATGCTTAATGTTGGGACAGAGAGACAAGTAGACAGACATACTGACTGACAGACTGACAACAATGCAACCTCAACATGGAAATTTATACATATATATATATATATATATATATATATAGAGTGCAGATACAGGTATGCATATATGTTTATGTGAGTTAATTAACAACATTTAAGTGGTCACCGAATGAGCTGCACTCAACTGAATGCTATTCATAAGGCACACACACATACGCATATCTCGATGTCTGTGCACATTGACAGCTTAATAAATTAAAATGCATTAAGTGTGTAGCATAGATTTGCTGCAGCCATAAATCCATCATCCAGTCAGCGCCAGTGGCAGCTCCCGTTTTGGCTTCGGGCTTTTTTCTTTTTGTACTCATTTTCGCTAGGATTTTGGGGAGCTTAAATATTATATTGTAATTCAAATGTTTATGGCCATCAACGTAAATAAAAGTGTCTGCTTAGCACCCGGCCTGCGGCACAGCTGCAGGTGAAATGCCGCAGCTGAGACGTCGGCATGATATATGTTGTATGTCGTCTGTCTGTGCAGTTAGAGCTGGGGTTCGGTCTTCATCTTGTAACCGCTTCAAGAGTTTAGCCTTCGTTGCCGTTAGAGATGGACGCGAAGTTAAGCACGCAGCAACATTGGGCAGGTGTAAGGCTCTCTACAGGTGTAAGGCTCTCTACAAGTCGAGCTCTTGAGAAAGTTGGCTTTAACTGAAATGGAAGTTACTTTTGCTCAGACAAAACTCTATCAATATATATATCTTATATATGCCAAACATTTTCTAACTCTAACAGCTCGTGTCACGAGGCTCAAGCACGGCACGCTTTCAACTCTAAAGGCTTGTCAGTTCGGGGTGAGTTTGGATTGCTTCT